ACTACAAATGTACAACCAGTGAACAAGAACAGGGATTACACTATAAACGACGAGAAGTTCCACAAAGCTCAGTAATTTTACCTGCGTGACTGACACGAGGGAACCGATTTTTAAATATTTGACATCCCTTTGGAGAGTGGACATCTTAAGTTGGTATACTTATTGCAGTATATATCTGATAATGTGAATACTATAATTGTTATGAGATAAAAATCTTTGGAGTATGACTTCGTTTCGCAGGTAAACATTTTAAACATTGTGACACATTGTAAATAATTACGCCGCAATTGTGTCATTATTTCTATGCAATGTGTTTATGTTGTTACGGTGTTATATTATTGTCAGGTGTCATCAAAGTGATGCGTTTCAACATACCAGCGATAATCAAACAACTAAGCCTAATAACACTTGTTCGCCATTTAACCTGACCCAAATACAAAACACTTCATTTCTCTCTTATGCTTATTTACGTCAATGAACATAGGTTGTATGGAGTGGGAACACCAGACGATTAAGAAAATTTTACGAAAACTTTTCTGTTAAAGAAAATGATTTTGATGTAAATTTAAACGAGCACCTTCACTATCCGTTAGACCAATCATACCTTAGTTTCAGAAACAGAAATATTACATAGCTTACATAATCAGTAAAAGTGTTCACAGCTCATCGAAAGTTAAAAATTAACTCGATTTTAAGTGAGACTATGCCATATTGATTATTGGGATTATTGCGATTTCGTGCGTTTTAGTACTTCTTAAGACTATTGAAGCACAATAAAGACCCAAATCAATCCCCGAAAATGCCGACTGTTCCCCTTAAAACAAATACACGTATTTCCAATTTCATTCCATTTATATTCTCCAGCAATAAGACTGGATAAATGATATAGCCTTGTAGTAAACCTTCGTCAAATTAGTCTTTATTAACTACCATGTGGTACAAATAGTTCCAGATCAACAGATTTCTAACGAACAGATGAAAGTCTCCACCCTGATTCTTTTAGACGTTTCCTCTTCAAAATTCGGCATCAGGTTTGGATGTTTGGTTGTCATTCTGGTGTAGTCTACTGGGTAGGTCTATTTCTGTGGTATAGTAGAAATAAGAATTGGTAGTTCACCGAGTCTCCTTGTGCTTTAATCAGGTTAATAACATAACTCTACAGTTGAAAATTAAAAAGATCTGACAAAATTTCCATCTTTGCTTCTATTCTGATATCGCTAGGTGACTTGCACCAGTAATAAGAAGGAGTAGGTGGATATCAGTGGTGTCCAGTGTTTTTTATTATGTAAAGACAATAAAAGATAGCTCCTTACCACACCTGTCATTCATTGAGGACATTGTTGAATGCGGAAGTACATTCCCCAGGAGTAAAGGTCATTTGTGACGACTGACCAAGCCTTAGTTTAATAATTTTTTAGCTAATTCTACATTTACCGTGTTAAATTGTAATTACATGAGATTATTTATACAAGATATATAAGTATACGCTGATTCAAATGTATAGTATGATTTTATTATTGTCTCACTTTAGATTCAGCCCAATTTCGTCATTTCGTGTTAGCTTTTTGATTGTTGCTTTTATTCCAATATAAAGTGTTTTTAAATAGGAAATAATATATGAAAATTACAGGACCTGGACTACATTTGATGTAAACTCTACATAGCAGCAATCTAATTAATTATATACAGGAATGAGGTCATCAAGAATGAATGTTGTCAAATTCTACAACAACTTGACGAATACAGAAAATCTATTTATGGCAGTGATGTTTCGTGTAGGATAGGGTGAACATTACAGATTTTAGGATTGTAGTTTACTTAATCCAGTTCTCACCTCATTCAAGCTTATCACAAACACTATCTTTTACTTTCTACACAATAATTTCACATGTGTCCTTGATAATTACACCTCAGTTACACCCATTTATCGTCTTCTCCTACGCACCAACTGTAATAGGTCTATTTAACATTTAATACAACAATGAAATATCAACTCAATATAGGATAAGAAATATTGTGAAAACAAGCTCAATTGAGACGAATCCAGTGTGTAAATGCACATCGTGAGGGTTCTGTTCAACACAAAGTGCATCCAATATATGGATAACAGATTGTAATCACGAACATACCAGGGGATTGTCAAAATGTTTATTAAATACTAAGAAAAGAATAAAGTGCACCGTTAAGATTATTATTTTACATAGCTATAGTATAAACATTGTTCACCACAACCAGAAGGATTTCAGATTTCCGTCACATGTTATGCAGTTACTGTTTACAAACAAAGATGTAGGGGAATACCCGAATATACAAAGTCTTAATGCCCTTTAATCCATTTACATAGTCGCACCAACCATCTTGTTAACAAATTGACTAACAGCTGCGACGACAACCATCAGTCGCTAAATGGCCCATACCATTAGTTTTCTTGCACTGGGATATAGTAGATGAACGTTTCTTTTCAGTAAACCGTATTCTAATGAAGTACATGTAATTTTGTAATAACGAACAAAAACAGAAATAGAGAACGTAAGTGATAAACTGGGTTAATTACAGCAACACTTTTTATGATTTGTCTTGTGAACGCGTCCCAGTAGGTTAAAGTCATCTTAACTGCTCTCTCTCATCTCTTTCATGAGATCACACTGGCGAAAATTGATCTCATCAATAGGAAATTTGATAAACATCTGTTGTCCCATTACTCCCAACCAGAATTAAAAAAAAGGCTGTGTATATATAGTCGTTACTATGATAGGGTATCCTTCAAGTTCCATAATATACGAACATAAATGCCAAACCATAGCATCCCTAAAATAGTAATAGTCGGAGAAAATAATAAAAAGATAAAAGAGTGTGGGATAGCTGACAAGATAATTCTATTCACTGGTTTCATTTTGATTTTAGGTCTGGACAAGGACAGAATGACGCCTTTCTATTTTCTTGCAACATGTAATTACAGTATAACAGTTGCAGACCCTTTTTGTGGGGATTTCGTGCACCTTCGAAGGTTTGGGGTTTTAAACCTATTTATTTAAATAGAATCCGCCAAACACAAAATATATATCATCCGGAAAGATGGTTATTTTCCAGTTCAGTTATACCACCATAACCCCCCTACAATTTATGTCACGTTGGAGGTTCTGTCAAAGATTTTTTTTTAAAACGAAACTGATCCATCGTCGGCCATTTAAAACTACGTGGGCAGCTAAAGGTTCAAGGGTTACAGAGTGACGTGATACTAACAAAACGAAAGTTACTGTAATTCCCAATCGTAGATATGTAGAAAAAAAACGTGTCTCTGAAGGTGTGGAAAACCCCCCATAAAACGGGTCCTTTTCTGACTCTACTCTATCCGAAAACTGTCTAACTATCTATCAGTGGCTGGATTAGACGCAGATGTTCCGGACTAGAGCGACAAGTGAAATAATAGCAGTAATTCCCTACTGTGTGGTTGTTTCAGATTTGCTAATGGTGTGATTTCCAGTAATGCCATACATCAAGATGGTCATTAGCGCTTCCCTTATCTCTCTTTTATGTCTAAAAGAAACGATGTGTGAAGGTAAGACTACTTTGTTGTGAAATGATAGGACAATTACACAGTATGCGTTCATAAAAATATAGTAGTTAACTATAAAGAAAGACGAAAAAGCCAATCCAGCGGTACGGACCGTCCATAAAATCAATAGCTTTGAAATCAAGAGATATAGAGATGTGTTGGTCTGTTGGTAGATGAAAAGTAATCGTTAGCTTCCAGCTTATCACAAATTAGGTGGTTGTTGAAGTCGAGGCATTTGGTAGTAGGCCTACAATCAGAATCGACTAATTCGTTCGGTAGTTGAGAAATCTTCAGATCTGGTCGGTTGAATGACATGACAAAACTCGGCATTTGGCGGTGGAGTTAGTTACTCGGTTCTCATCATTTCTCCAAAACACGCATGATTACCTTGGTAGGAAAGAGGTAGACTAGAAAGACAAAACAAAGCCTATTCTGCTACAGAATAATAGTATTTAAAGTTTACCGTGGTTTCTAAATTAGGTCAATATACACACGAAGATCTTTACTGCATTCAAATTAATTTTAGCAACAAAGCAAAATCATATCTTAAAAACATAACACAAACTTACAAATCCTAATATAAACATCCTCTGCATTTGAGGCGTTAACATACATTGCCTTTTGTCAACATTCATTTTATTACGGTTCAATCATAAAGAATTTAAGCTTCATCTTAACATTTGGTAGCTTCAGTTATGACTGTAGTTTAGTCAAAGACAATACTAGTTACTGCAACAACAGTAATTTTTATACGCCCAAAAAGGAACGTATCATGACCCCACCCTTCCATCCTTCCTCTGTCTTTTATCCTTTCTTGTAACCACGCTAATGGTTACACTTTTTTTCTGGTCTTACGAAATGTTCTGAAATCATCACCATAAATGTAGGAAACAAGTATGAGATGTATGACAAGTTTGGTGTTTTGGGGTGTATTCAAAAGCAGTGACAGTACTCGGATGGATGTCTTAAAAAACAATGAAGTGAAGCCAAATTCGTCATCCAAAAAACGATTTAAAAAAAGTTTGAATGTAGCATATTTTTAAAACTAATCTCGTCTTTTAATTGTTAAATAAAACCTTGACGAACTTTAGATTAAGATATTAGTTATGTCTTCTGTGAGGATGTTGGAGATCTGCTAATGATATTATTTCTAGTAATTAGCTTTTCTTTTATGTCGGTATTATTCTAAAACTAACGATGTGTGGAGGTAAGATGGACTGCTTTAATTATGAAAATGATATAACAATTTCGCAGCATGTCTTTCACAAAAACATCAGCTTAGTTTTGAAAGGAAGCGTGATTCTATGAGTTGTCCCTGCATTTAATCATCAATTCATTTGCCTCCGATCTGATGTACATGAAGGTACTATCAACCAAATTGATTTAATTTGTGATTTTGAAGGAAAATCTAAACGGATTTAGTTAAAAGATTTGCAATTTCAATATGAATAACTCGTCTTATTTAAATGATATGTTTCCTGTACCAGCAAACACAACCGTAGCTAGTAGCAGTAATCAACAGATAGTTGTGAATGCTATTATTGGAGGTCTTGTGTTTTTACTGTGTTTGTTTACTTTCACCTCGATCTTACTGACTAAATCACTAAGAAATAAAGAGAAGGTGTGTTACCTCGCCATTATCTGTTCAGATCTGGTGTTGAGTTGTCAAATACTGTTTGTCCGTCTGCTACCTATAACCTTCAACAGTGACCATCCATTATGTCACTTTCAGTTATGGAATGGAATTATTTTAACACAGGCTACCATGTTTTCGAATATGATGGTTACAACAGAACGGTTTGTGAGTGTTGTTCTGCCTTTTAGATTTTCCGAGAAAGTGACTTGTAAGCGACTAATGGTTGTGTACGCGTTCTTGTGGGTAGCTGCAATCGTCCTAACGTTTGTCATGTTTTCAGATGGATTTAGTGGAAGCACATTGTGCCAGTTTTTAACTGTAGGAAATCGAAAATCATATGCTATTCTGGGGTCATTTATGTGTTCTATAGTAATTGTTGATTTCTCCCTATACGTTGGCATCATAAAGGTAGCACGGCGCCACATTCGACAGATTGCAGCAACAATGGTTGACGGGAACATTGCAGGTACAGAACGTGCTTCGTACATAAAAAAGAGGGAGTTCCGAGCAACACTGACTGTTGGTATCATTACACTAGCCTTTGGGATTTCTTACTTCCCTATGGGTGCGCATTTGTTTTATTATGGTATATTTTCGTCCTTAACAACACAAACGAAAACGTTCAATGTGATGATAACATTGTTAATGCTTAACAGTCTGATGAACCCTATGATTTATATCTGGAGATTGAAATCATGTCGACGAGAGATGATCAACAGGTTATTATGTCGACCCAATGATCTTACAGAGAATGATCAATCTAGAATAACCACTAGGAATATGAATACATAATAATTGCTGTGATTTTTTTTTTAATTTTTCTGGTGGATGAACTACGTTATCATCAAAGTCGAACAATAACGCACCAAGTTTCAGTATTTCCTCGTTGTTGATGAGAGAATACGTTATCGTCAAGGCACCCATCAAGTAATTATTGCATTAGAGCCTCGCCTATTATAATGCTTTTGAACCTGGATTACAGAGCTTTTTAGCTAAATAGGTTGTCTACAGTATATATCTGACTATCATTATAATTTATAAAGATTATAAGTTATAATATCAATCGATATGTGTGAATTTGTGAATGTACCGATATCTAGTATTTTAATAAATATACCAAAATCATTCTTATCTATATCGAGTCCTGACCCACCCGGTTCTAGAGCGGTCCCAGTCGTTTCGGATGCGACCTGCCCCCAGCTTAGCTTTTTTACTCAGAAAATTTGATGAATTTTTGGTCCAGAGAAGAGAACTCATATCTGAATTTTGAGCTGTCAAATACCATCAAAATCTATATCTGTAAATGTAAATGAATCAATCTCTGCTGAACTGATCAAGGTTTTGCTGGGGCTGTCTATCCCGATTCTTAACACAAAGGAGATCAAATGCACCGAAAAATGTTATTGTATGTTTCCCAATGCACTCTTTGTAGCCCTTTATTACGTTCTAAAAACCAATTTGAAGAGGGTTCTCTGTACCCCCGGTACTCTCGGTTGGGAATCAGGGTAGGCCTGTTAAATTGTAGTGAATAGAACCCACCACACTACTGTTAATTTATGGAGACCTAAAGATCGTGGGTGATAATAAACAATTCAGCAAATTTCGTCAAAATCTGTCAAGAATTGAGCCTTCTAGAATGTTTACGAGCTAAAAATTGAACCCATTTTCAAGAACAAGGGCAATAACTCATTCTAAATATTTTTTGATTTTTCTGATTTTCAATAGGGTTCATTCTTAGGTGATAACGAACACTCATACCACGTTTCATCAAAATTCGTCAAGCATTGTGCCTTGTAGAGTGTTTAAGAGCAATTGTGGACGGTCGGACGGACATGGGTGACGGCAACATACGGCCCCATTTCATGTGGACGTATAAAAACAGTCGACTTCATACAATTTTCCGACGCAGAGGCAAGGCAGTAAGAACGCCTTTCCGATGTAACGGGGCCTTTAAGGACTGTTGAATGTCGATTTGACCTTGGAGGAAGTCATTCAAATTTTCCACCGACAATTTCTACTTCAGTACATAGGTAATAAGTAGATAGATGTAAACACTGGAGTGTAGAAATGCAACAACTTTCAAGGACATAGGCTTTTTCTTAAAGAAAACCAAATTGAAGACGCACATCAGTCACTGTATGAGATTACAAAAGTGATCAAAAGTAACACTCACAAAAAAGCTGTAATTAAGATTACAGATTACTTTCACTATTTTCGTTCAGTGCCGTACACGGGCAGACGAGCGAATTTAATCACCGGCGTAAATAATTGGCCGAAAATATCTTACATTTTTTTTTATTCGTATGGGCGTTAAAATCGTCGACGACATTAGCGGGCACCCGAGCTAATTTTTTGGGCGATCATATATTCGCCGCAATCGGCCGATAAATACGCTCATCTGCCTAGCCAAACTAGTTACACTTTTAACTTAAATAAAGTTAAAACAGGTATTAAAGATTATTGGGCCACATAAAGGATAATGCATCAAAACCAAACAGTAGTTTAATAGTTAATATAGACGGCTATAAAATGATTTGTTATTTATAATAATAAAGATGTAGGTAATAAAGAAAGAATTCTACTAATTTATAATATGGGGGTTGATCCGACAGTTCAATATCTCTTTTCACCATCATCAAAACGTGTATATCTCTATCATTTTCTTTACACCTAAGCTGTTCTGACTATAAAACAGGAATGAACCATAAAGGGATATTAAATTCTTAAAACTAAATCTACTTAATTAGGCTTACTTGAGGCTGTTCGGATCAAGATATTAAAAAGTGCCAAACAATTTCACGAATTATTCAAATATATTCTTGAAAATATACTTTATAAACTGGTAGGCAACAATTTACATTACATTTAGTATATTGTTATCATAATATACAATGCTGTCTCCTGTAAGGTAATTGAAACAGTTTCGATGACGCCTGTTAAAATTGGTTTGGCAGCAACGATAGAATTTAGGGCGGGGTGTTTTGGACCATGTGAATAACCTCCGACCTAAGGTATTTAGGAATCGTAATGATTGGATAAAATAAACGGTGGTGTAAAAAGTAAGTGTAAAATGTTTTAAGGGGTATGTCTATAGGTTGACTGGTGAAAACATTACGTTACTGTACAGGTATAAAATAAAACTCCGTTACAATGTACTAAACAGAAGTACTGTGTCCACCGTTATACCATCACCTTGTACAGGACCTTAACTTTTACTGACTTGGTTAAGACTATCTTAAACAGAAGCAACCTTGATTTTTGTCATTATTTAACTATAATTTATTTGTTGGTGTGTGGATTATTTAACAGTTAAAATGTTACCTGCCATTTTTATAGTTTGTCTTTGTATTTTAAAGGTGAGTTGAATTTTTCTTACCTTTAGCTTAATACAATCAATAATACAATTTTCTTACTGTTAACAAGAAACCAAGAGACTTTGAGAAATCAACTGTTGTTTTGTTTTTTTTTATGAAAAACAACAAGACGATACTGACAAAAAAGCCCTATACTGTACGTGTCAATATCAACCAACATGGTCAATATAATATTAAGCAAATTAATTCTATCAGATTTCAAAGGGACCTAATTACTTTCATGTCAGAATAAATAGAATCTTTTCTATGAAAATGGTTTAACATATCATACAAACATCCGGTTAATATTTTCCAACAAATCTTAGTTGTTTTGTATTTTCCCAATGAGTGGACATGGAAACGTGAGCTATGAAAGATCTATATAATACATACTAATAATATGTTAACCAGTTAAATTGACACATTTATAAGATTCACTTTCACTGCATGTAATGACAAGAATAACCTTGAAACCAAACTAACAAACACAAGAGTACGACAAACTTTAAACAAAACTTGGTTTTGTAGTAGTATTGTGAAAAGGAATTCTCAAATTTCCATTTGTAACCTTTATATTTATCTTAACATAAGTACATGAATATGATTTTTGTCAATCTCTTTTGTTATTAAAGTAGATAGAGTTTCTAGATCTCTTTTCAAACCTTTAGATTATATGATGGTATTGAATCTAGCACGAACTGTGGTTTCAACAACAAATCACCTTTTTATAAATGGTTTTTAAATTCATTTAAATAAAGTTGACAGGATGGTGTGAGAATTTTCGTGTAGGAATTCGAGCGGTATTAACCCGACATATTTAATGATTGTTCCATTTCACCTAACAGCAGGATATCTCTCAATCTTTTAATGCTTCTAGTATAAAATCGGTTAAATCGGTTAACTTGCCCTGTATGGACTATTTCATACAAATTGTTTAACCATGTAACTACTAGAAGTGCAAAAACGAGGAGCTTGTTACACCACTTAAACGCAGATAAGATACAATGATGCGTTGAGAGTGGATCAGAATGCATTGGCACTGCATCAAAAAATAGCTATAGTTATGGTCATTGAAATCAATTCATGACAATTAGTTAAAGTAAACAATGGACAACTAGTAGGATTGTAAATAGAACTTTAGGCAGTGTTTAAAGAAAGGAAACAACAAATATAACGACTATTTTATAAGTCAGAAGGAGATTATGAAGTTTATTCTAGATTCTAACATGGACAAAATATCTTAACAACTAAGTTGAAACTAACATCTATTGACCACATAGACAAGAGAGTTTTTATCTTCATTCTTACTATTTATTCAGTGGTAAATACTTTGTACAGAAAGTTCATTCTCACAGTTGGTACATGTCTTATTCTTGGTGACCCCTCACCTTCTATAAAGTGTCACCTGTATGTGACGTGGTGCCAACGATTGAAGTCGAGTTTGACAGACCATTATCGTGGCTTTAACAACACGTTTTTACATGACGACGTCATTATCATAACAGTTCTTTATTGACAAACGCCAAATTGTTTTCACAAAAAATAAACCTGAACAAACCGACTGCATATGACCGATTTCTTCACAAAAGATGAGACATAAACTATTATCATTTTTCATTGCAATTTGTCATTACTTAAAATAGAGCACCTGTTCGTGTTCTTATTGGCTACATCTTGTAACATTATTCTTGAAGATGCAGTAGGATTTTGCCTTTTACTTTGTGCGGAGCCATTTGTTACCCCGATAATGCACTCTACAAAACATCAATTCTATTTTGTGAAACGACAAAATCTTGTATTCAAAAGAAAAAGATCTTAGTTGTCTGTTAATTATCTCATCTTTTCATTAAGGATTCACTGATTATGTTATTAGTGCTTGTTAAATAGTAATATATTTAATTAATAAATGTATAATCTCATTACAAAGGCATACAGGTAATTAGGGAATACAGTGTTTTATGATATACACGTTAATTTGTATTATTCTCTCTGATAAATTTCTACATTGCACTGAGTTAAACATCGGCTACCTACATGACCTTAACCTAAATAGTCAGTAGCGCCGGAATTCTGTGAGAGGAAACGAATGGTGACATGAATTAGTTGACTATAATAATAACCAATGTTATTCAGATTGTATCCATGTGTTCCCTCTATTACATAGTTACCATGATGCTGTCAAAGCCCTTATTTGCCAATGAAAGTGAGACTTTAAAACAATTGTACTAGTGTAATGTTACACTTGCATCAGGTTTCAGAACATTAATATGCTACCTTAAATACTCCCGCGAATAAAATAATAAACCTTGGGCAAACTAATCCTAAAAAACATCGTTCACATTCCAAAAACCATGTTATTGTAGCACCCTTTATCCACTGTATATAATATTCTAAGAATGTGATGTATGTTTTCAATTTGCTATTACCAAGGGAGTTCAAAGGTGGAGGACTTTTTAAATTTTTTTTTGCAGGTTATTTTTTGCACTCTAGGTGTGGTTGGAACAGGTTGACATATCAACGCATTACTTCAGTCAGGAAGTTAAATATGGTTAACCAACTCCACAACTCTCGAATAAAATTCTTGGGCAGGGTGGCCATTCCTTTTTAATTATACCCTGAATTTCCGTTTAACAACAAAACACAACCTTGTGCATTCCATGGAGTAAAGAATAAATGTCAGTAACCTCATCTGTATATTGAAGAATATGTTGTAAATTAACTGCAAGGTGGTTGTTTGAAATATGTTATAAAAATCTAAGAAACCACATTACGATACATTTCGGTGTATAAAGTCAACTGATATATTATGTTAAACCTCTAATGATAAATGTTTTGTACATATTCATCATACCTTAAACAGTTTGCGAGATATAACTTTTATCTAGTAATTGGTCAAGGTTTACCGGACAGCTCCTAATTTAAAAGATTTAGAATTATTCCAATTATTGGCCTAATCTTTCTGGATATCTATATCTTCTTCCTTGAAACGTCGGTGTTAGAGATAGGCATTAACTATATTAAAAGCTGATTAATACGCATCTGAAAATAATCATTCGGAAGAACTTACAATGTGGGCGATTTAACCTTCACCCCCTTAACAATGTACATTTAATTTGTAATTGGTTTATCGCCCATCATTACCAAGCTCTATGGTATATTTGACAACCTCATTATTTTTGGGTCTTCCAACAAACCCTGACCCTACCTCTATAATTAGTATATTAGTAAACAGTTTGTATTTAAAACCCGAGATTAAAGACTAAAATAAAATTCTGAAAGAAGTAATTGGAATGTGTTGACAAGTATTTATATATAACATAGTATATTTCATAGAAACCACAACCAGTCAGTATATACACTATTTAACCTGGAATATAGCAATTTAAAGTTAGGGTCACACTAAATCAACTTTGTATTGTATTAGATACATGACAGTAACAGTTTGAGAAACCCCCACCCTTACAGTAATCACACGACTGTACATTATCAAATCTGCAGGTTCAGACACTGTTTATATTATAAATTTATTTAATTCAACCTGTAGTTACTTAATATTCACTGTATCACTTTACAGATTTCTTCTTGAAACCAATTAAACGTTAATAGTCTCTTATACAAAAACCTTCCCAGCGAAATTCCTTTCTGCGGTCCTCAAGTTCATTCTTTCTTAGCATTTGAAGCGTATTTATGCAAAGTTAAATGTCGACAGGTGCATATACCTGAATTGAAAATAAATAAAACTGTAGAATTTGTATCCGATTAAGAAATATCTCCCTGATTCTTCAAATGCTGTATTTTGAATCGGAAATAGAATCAGTGACCCTACATTCCTTAATTCAAATCAACCTTAGAGGCAGTAGATATAATGTACTTCGTTTTTAATTATCATTCCTGGTTTTTAATTAAATTGTTCCTTGAAAATGAAACGAAATGCATAAGAAGTTTATGATAATAATAGCTTAAATTCATAATCTTTGTTCTTTCAGTGTGTTATTGGAAGAGAAAAGTTTGCTACTGGAGATGAAGCTGATGCTCTATGTGAAGTAAGTAATTAACAAGTCTTTGTATAGTGGTGTGATCAGATGTACTGCGCAATATATAATTTTGCTGTAAAAGTCGTTGAGTGTGATACCTTTAGGAACAAGAATGGATAAAACGAAGGAGTTAGTCCAAACTAAATAAAGTAACATTGGTTAACACAAGGTTGAGAACTGAAAGATCCATGAACAATTACCATTTGATTGATAACCAGGAGATCAAGAGCTTTCAATATAGTGTAATAAAACATGCGACATACAAAGTCCATCAAGGTTCAAAACCACAATGTAAACAAAGTCGTTTGGTGTAAGAATGACAGATAGTCTATGTAGAATATATTAACATCCTGTACAGACCTTCAGTAAGACTCAATTTACATTTGAAAAACAAGTTAATCAGAATGGTATTTTTAATGTTAAAAAGTCGTTGTGTAGCCTTTGTGTTCATTAAAACTACAACTACGTAAATATACTAAGTTTTTATGTAACAGTAAATTCACATATGTTAAAATTTCACAGGTTGTAGATGTTCTTGCTTTTGATGTTTAAAGACGTTCAGCAAAATGTCAATCAAGACGATCGTGATCTTCACACTGCAGTTAAATAAATATCAGAGATCGCAACCCTCTACAACAGATATGGATAGCAGATTAAAAAAACTTTCCAATTTAAATATTGTCATGTGCTTTTGTGTGCGTTGGACAACCTCCGAATCTGTATCTGTATGAAAAAAGAACATTCGTATCGATTGGTGAAATCGTGTCCTTTATCGCTAAAGCTGTTCAGTTGATGCCATATTGAGGACTTGAAATATTATACTATCAAAATCAAACCATTCAGATATGTAAACTTGTCAGAGTGTAATCTGTATAAAAAAAAAGACCATTCTCTACGTCCAATTTAATATATATATCTACCGCTACTTCATTACTTCATGCATCTGTTTCAGGCTTACAAGAAAGTTTGTCCGATTGGTAAAGTATGTGTTGTCCAGAATTTGTATTGGCCGAGACAAATGTCTTTCCCAGTGTGTGTTCATGCACGTCATGTACCAGGTAAGTACGTTTACAGCAACCATTTTTTGACAGGAAAGACTTCGACGAGGCTAACTTATCTTACGGGACACATATCCATATGAAACTCGGATGATTAGATTCTTTATTTATAAAGCCTTTTGAGCTGATGGGTATTCTTAATCTGAAACATTAATATCAGTTCGTGGTCTGTTTTGTATTCAGACGCATCAACTGTGTATCAGGATATGACACGAGGTATCTTCGTGTAACTATCATATCATAATCTAATAATTGATTATGTCTTATTTCAGCAAAAGCTAAAATCTGCGAACTGCCGCCTTCACCAGGGGGATGTGGTGCCCAGTTCAATAGATGGTATTATAACGTTCACACCAAGGAATGTTCACCACTGACATATAGTGGTTGTGAAGGAAATCTTAATAATTTTCACACCAAAAAGAAGTGTGAAAAGACATGCGAAGTTAAACTGACGTCGAAATCTGAAGTATCTCCACCTTCAATAGTTAAATTAGGAATCACTTCCAGAACACCAGATGTTCTAGCAGCACCAGCACCACTACGATTAGAATCTTCCAATGAACGTCGAGCTCTTGAATTAAAAGATGATATTGAAGAACATAGTGGACGAGGTATGCCTAGAAAGAAGCATAGACGACGAGGGGGTCGAGGTGGGAAAGGAGGACGACTGGGAAGACGTAACCGTAATACCAACATTAAACGACGACGTCGACGACGACACAGGAAACAACGACCTGGATCTGGATTGAGACGAGGATATGGAGAATTAAGAGGTCGTAAAACAACATTCATGTTATCACCCCCAGTTCAGAACGATCATGGAGCATTTCTATTACGTCAATTAAGAAGAAAACAACAAATCTTAGCCAACCGCAGACGATACAACGGTTATGGTGGATATTACAATAAAATCAAACTGTTTACCTTACTTGGTAAAGGTAAAAAGAATGATGCCTCTGATGAGTAAAAAGTGGGGCAATTGACTATTTAAGATTACTATTAATAAACGGATCTTACGGGTTTAATTGAATTTAAACCCATTGATAATCAAATATGAATAAAACAGAAACATTAAGTGACTTTGCAATCATCATGAAGACGAGATTAAGCCTTTGGTTGTGGTACATGAACACTGTTCTTGTACATCCTAGTTGAAGGTTGTTTTGATAGACTTAGCTTGGCATTACATCCAACTAAAAGCAAATTTTATTCTTAATGTCTCTATTGATAATCAGAAATCAATGACGGTACTCTCTTCCCTTTATGTTTATCACCAAAACCTTTTTTGTATGGAGAGAAAGGCGTTAAAGGCCCTAGACATTCCTCCGAAAGACCCAGTACCTGCTTGTTTTAATCTGGTAGACGAGGTCATAAAGAGGTTTTTTGGTGACGAAACATAAAGGGTAATAATTTATGTGTGTTCATTTTTTTCTTAAAGGTATTGTTTCTGTTCAATATTGATTAAAATTACTTATTCATCATTTCACTTTCAGCTACTTGAAACTATTTTCCAAAAGTTAAATTAGGGTCAACAAGATGCAATGAAATGTAGATGAATTTCACATAACCTTATAAAACATGTGGAAATTTACCATATTACTTGCATAATGGCATTTTTCCCTTTTTTTATTTTAAAACACAGACAACAAACAATGTGAAACAATGCCTTTAAGATAATAATATTTAATAAATTATGATGGCTGAGTGGGTTATGATGATGTAGAACACGTTTAGGAGAGTACAGCATCAAGTGTTCATGTATATATTGTGTATACATATTATATTTGCACTATTCTCTTCATTAGACATTTACTATTCTCTTCATTAGACATTTACTATTCTCTTCATTAATCCTCTTCATGATACTTTTACTATTCTATTCAGACATACAACTATAATATACAAGCTTAGAAAAAAAACAGCCTATTCTGATATATCTGTTGATTATTGATTAAGAATTTAGCTGTGTATTATATTATTTCCTTTTATGAAACGCATGTCAGGGATAGAAAATTAGAAACTATTCTCTTGTCACCTAGACAAACTTTATTTGTAATATTTGCAGTAGCGGACGTCATAGTAAGCATCATACTTAGTAGAGTAGTCATTCTCGCGGGTCTTATATCATAAGGCTTCAGAAAAATTTAGAAGACGAATAGGCCTACGTAAAAAATATTTGGCATAAAATGAAGAAAGGTGCCACTCATACAGTTGTTTATTGTTTGGAGAAATTTCTAGTATCGCTACTTAACATAATTATTGTGTTCAGACTATACTTATATTGTATATAGATTTTGTACATTCAATTCTTCTTGGCATAATAATTTAAAGATATTTAATGCCCACAATAAATCTGTTATATTCATCGTGTTTTATTTGATACAGCTCTCGATAAGGTCTTAGCTCAAACAATAGGCCATATTTACAATTTAAAAATTAGAGCCCTCGACAGAAAAACTCTTAACAATATAGCTAGATAGTGTCTAGGAATCTTACTGCTGCATTTACAAACTTATCAAACCTTATAATCAACTTCATCCCCAGTGCTATCATCATATGAAATCTAAAATAGAAATTATTTTTCAAAAAGGGATTCAAGGGGGATAACCTATTTTGGCTAAAGCTGTTATGGAAAGTTATATTCGTCAGAACTTTTAACTTCTATCTTTAAAGTACAAACATTCGGCTCGTATCTTTGTTCAGTTTGGCACTAAATATTTCAGTAAGTAGTATTCCACTTATCTCCACCTATTGGCCGTCTGACCCGAGCCAAGCTGAATGTCTGCAGTCCGTGTCAAAAATGGTCGTATAGACATTTGGTTCGTTAGTGTTTATTTCACTTTCCAAATAGGGCCTGAATTTTTACCACAGTCAAACAACATGTTTTGATTCGCTGCAAAATACAACATAATGAAACATTGTTTACTTCCTGTAACTTTTCCATCTTTCCATGAATAAATGAAATAAAGTAAGAATTTAGAGATAAGAAGTAAGAGAATATATTTAGAAATTGTGATAGATCAGAATCAGTCCTGGGATGTTCCTTCATACAACAACTATAAAGATAAATCTTTGATACCAATATATTTAGTTTGTCTTGTAGAAGTTATTTTGAATTATAAAACAAGGGTTTACTGTTATTAAGGCTGAATTTATCAAAGAAACATGCCTTAAATCACCAGATGATCAAGTATAGGGGATTAAATTGTATAAATATACGAAAGCACGAAGCCTATTTTAATATAGTAACACTTTTAGTGTTCAAGCTGCCAAAATAAATGACAGTTTTAATTATAATTTGTAATGTGTAACCAAACGAAGAAAGACATTCAAGATATAAACCAAGTTGTCAATTCTGTCTATTCCATTCCAGAAATTTAGATCAGAAGCTCTAAAACAGCTTGGTGATAATAATTTCAGCTTTCGGACACGAATACAGTGGGATTAGATGCTGTCAACTATAGGATTTGAAGCAGCTCGATTTTCGGGACAATGGCCAAGGTAGGACAACCTTAAGGGAGGTGTAGGCTACAGCTTTCAGGACCACGTCCTAGGTAGTGGAACCAATTGCTAATCAGCAATAGATAACGTTGCTTACTTCAAAGATCAAGGTCTAATTGACTATCTCTAGATTCCAAGTCCCGGAGCTTGTTGACTTAGCTCCTCTTTTTGGGCTTTAATGTTGTTATTTTATGATCCTTATAGACTGCTCTAGATATCATAGACTAAGATCTAGTCTACACACCTGCCTGATTTAATCTCAACTAGAATCTACTTTCTACGATATTGGAGACGAATATCATTACATCTTTGTTTGTCCATACTTTGAATATATTAGATTCCATTATATCCCAACTACTTATAAATGTTATAATAATAGTATAGTTTTCTCTAACATCTTTAACTCCAAACAGTACAGCCAACTTAACAAATTATGTAACTTATATTAATATTATTGTACAACATTTTCAATCCCCGCCATCAATCTAACTATTATAATATATTTCACAATTGTCCAATGACATTTATATTATTTACATCTTTATAATTCAATTATGTATTCTTTATATTTCAAATCAAAAAAATATTTATATATTGTCCAACATTTTCGATTCCCGCCATTAATCTAACTATTATTATATCTATAATCCAAATATGTATTCATATTATATGTTATTTATATTTCAAATCAATATTATTTATATTTGGATATTTAATTGAAATGTTTATTTTGTTTAACTATGTGTATGTCATATCGTTGATGTTTTTGTATTTCTTGTAGCAGCATGTCTTTTGCTGTAAAAGAATTAAGTTCTTCTTCTTCTTTCTTCCCTTCAGTGATCAATGATCAAATGATTTGGTTACACACACTTCATTTCCTTCATCAGTAATGTGGCAATTACAAAAAAAGATTGTTATTTTTAATATTTAGCAACGCTTTCTTCTCAGGTTAAATATCAACAACATCTAAACCATACAGTCTTAAAGCATAAATCATACAAAAATTCAGTTCAATTACTAAAAACGCCATCTTTTAATTCAAGTGATCTAAAATCTTCAAGACGAACTAAATAGATTGGTATCAAGGATTTATCTTTATCAATGTTATATATTGGAAATCTAACGAAAGACTCCCTCTCCTGTCCATTTCAAACTTCTCATTTCATTCATCTTCTGAATAGACAGACATAACGAATTGATGAATTAATTAAATTAATTAATGAATTGTTATATTGTATTAAGCAGTCTTTCAAAATCATGTGTAAAATTTTGATTGGGACGTTGGTCAAATTTAGTAACATATCTATAGAATTAAAATTTTAAATGACTCC